TGTAGTGTACGCGCATGCGCGGGACAAGGGAAGGTAAGCAAGTGTGACGCTGGACAGCACGTGTAGCACGGAGGATAATAAATAAGATATAATTGTACCTGGACCCGAGTGATTATTGAGAGTCCCAAGACCCTACAAGTGGCGACGAGGAAAAGAACTTGAGTGCCAAGGAGTAAATAAGCAGGTAAGAAAAAAAAGAAAAAAAAGAAGTAAAGTAAACTAACCTCCGTGCATTGTCAACGGACGCCTATAAATCACAATCGAGGCATACAAGTGGCAATGCCGGAGGACCTTATTCACTTCTAAATGAATCATGCATTATGAAATGAATTAATTACAAGTAAACAAAAGGGCCACGCACATAAATAATGTCAATAACGCATGGAGGTGCAAACTCTCCGGAACTGCGTTGCTTGGAGAGATTATTAGAACTAAAATTCCGTCAAGTACAACGTATGTCAATTCTGGACAAGGGCCATGCAGTCAAAAGAACTGAAGGGCCATGCAATAAGAACAAAGGTTCTTTATGTTTCAATATTGTCGCTTACTTAAGCATGACATTACAAGGGCCATGCAGATAAACCTGTTAGCAAATGCTAAAGGGCCACGCAACAAGAACAAAAGTTCTTCATGGTTCAATGTTCAAGGGCCACGCAAATAAATCTGTTAGCAAATGCTATAAAGGGCCATGGGGAAAAAAAAGAAATATACTTAAATTTAATTTCAGATCATCCAAATGGCTCAACTAGCCTCGACGCTGGCAAGTCTCAATAGTTTTGATTGTGACGGCGACCCAGCTTCGGTAGGTATACGCTGGGAAAAATGGAAGAGAGCACTAGAAATATATCTATTGGCTTTGAACATAGATAAACCAGCAAATAAAAGAGCAACGCTCCTACACACCGGAGGACTGACTTTACAGGATATCTATTATAATATACCAGGAGCACACGTGGATGAAGCAGAAGGAGTAGACGTCTACAAGGTCGCACTTAATAAATTAGATGAATATTTTTCACCAAAACAAAGCAAGGTTTATGAAAGACATTTATTTAGACTGATAAAACAAGAAGAGAATGAAAAATTTGAAAAATTTTTACTCAAATTAAGAAACCAAGCAAACAAGTGTAAGTTTGCAAACATCGAAGAACATCTAATAGATCAAATAGTAGAGAAATGCAATTCAACGAAGTTACGGAAAAAAATACTATCAACAGGAGACGACATGACGCTCAACCAGATTATTAGTGAAGCAAACGCGTTGGAAGTAGTCAGCAGACAACTAGAAGTCTTTAATAAAAAAGACTTAACTCTTCAAGAACGAAATAATAATGAAATCAACAAATTAGACTATAAAAAGTACAAAAGTTCAAATAAACAAGCAAATAATAGGAATGCCGACGAGACTTGCTCAAGATGCGGTAGCAACAAGCATTCACAGTATGACAAGAAATGCCCAGCGAAAGATAAAAGATGTCTCAAATGCAATCTCTTTGGCCACTTCAGAGAATATTGCAGGACAAAACAAAAGAGAAAGATATTTGATAAAAGGACAGAAACTAGGCCTAAGAAACATAAGCAAGAAGACACTAAAACTGAAGAAGTAGACTATATTTTCCATCTGGACGAGGACTCGATTATAGATTGTTTAGTGGGAGGAATAAAGATTGAAATGCTAATCGACTCAGGAAGCAAGTGCAATGTTATCACCGATAAGACCTGGCAATATCTAAAGGAACACAAGGTAAAGGTTTATCAACAAATAAAAAAGCCAGACAAAGTACTTCTACCATATGGAAGTAAAAAACCTTTAGACATCATTGGATCATTCCAAGCGGATATCACCATTAACGCCAATAATTCTCCACGGACAGCGACTTTCTACGTTATTCGCAATGGAACGCGAAACTTACTAGGGAAAAATACCGCAATCGAACTAGAGGTACTGCAAATTGGTCTTCAGATAAACGCCACCCAACCTCTTCCAAAGTTCAAAGACGTCAAAATTACAATACCAATAGACAAAACCGTCAAACCAGTAATCCAACCATATAGAAGGATACCGATCCCTTTAGAAAACAAAGTTAATGAAAAACTGACGGAACTGAAGGATTCCGACATCATCGAAAAAGTTCACGGACCTTCACCATGGGTATCGCCGATGGTACCTGTATTAAAAGAAAACGGCGAAGTACGTATTTGCATCGACATGCGACGTGCCAATGAGGCAATAATAAGAGAAAACCACCCATTACCTACGATGAACGAGATGCTACCAAACTTTAGACAAGCGAAATATTTCTCTCGATTAGACATAAAAAACGCATTCCATCAAGTAGAGATAGACCCTGATTCTCGCTACATAACAACTTTCAGCACCAACAAAGGGCTTTTCCGATACAAAAGACTAATGTTTGGGATATCCTGCGCCCCAGAGATATTTCAAAAGGTTCTTGAAAGAATGCTTCTAGGATGCGAAGGCACAGCAAACTTCATCGACGATATAATTGTGCACGGACAAGACGAGCTCATCCATGATAAAAGGCTAAGAAAAGTATTGGAAGTCCTGAAGGAAAATGACGTCCTGCTGAACGAAAGGAAGGGCATTTATAAAACCAAAAAGGTAGAATTCCTAGGACACGAATTATCGGAGGAAGGTATAAAACCCCTAGGAAAATACATAAAAGTAATACAAACCAGTCGATGCCCTACAACCATCGAAGAACTCCAAAGTTTCCTAGGTTTGGTGAATTTCGTAGGCAAATGGATACCGAACCTGGCCACCTTAACAGAACCGTTCAGGAAATTATTACGCTTAAAAGTAAACAAAACAACAAATATTCAAAAATATTGGACATCAAATCAAAATATAGCATTTCAAAACCTAAAAGAAAACCTATCAAAAATAAAAACGCTTGGTTATTACAACCCGGACGATAAAACGCAAGTAATAGCAGATGCTTCCCCAGTCGGTTTGGGAACAGTACTCATTCAGATCGATTCCAATGGCCCCAGAATAATAGCATACGGGAGCAAAAGTCTTACGGACTGTGAGAAAAGATACTGTCAAACAGAGAAAGAAGCATTAGCTCTTGTATGGGCAGTGGAACACTTTAAAATATACCTCTTTGGGAAAGAATTCGAACTCATTAGCGATCACAAACCCCTGGAGATAATATTTGGACAGAGATCCAGACCATGTGCCAGAATAGAAAGGTGGGTTTTGAGACTGCAGGCGTTTAAATATAAAGTCATTTATCAACCAGGCAAATCCAACATCGCAGATCCATTATCAAGACTATGTAAGACAAACACACTAAAACCATTTGACAACGAAAATTATATAAACCAGATTGTCGAATATAGCACACCAATCGCAGTACCGCTGAAAGAAATCGAAGCCGCTTCTTCAATCGACGGAGAAATCCTAAAAGTAAAAAATGGCGTATATAACAACAGCTGGGACGAATCAGTTAGAAACTATAAAATTTTTCAAGCGGAGTTATGCTTTAATGAAGACATTCTTTTACGAGGTAATAAAATAGTCATCCCACCATCATTACGACGAAGAGTATTAGAAGCTGCTCATGAAGGACACCCGGGAATAGTTGCAATGAAGAATCGACTTAGAACGAAAGTATGGTGGCCGAAAATAAATAAGGACGCGGAGAACATGGTTAAATCATGCAAAGGGTGTACACTAGTCTCTGCCCCTAATCCACCAAACCCCATGAGAAGAAGAGAACTTCCGAGTATGCCATGGATAGATGTAGCAATAGATTTCCTGGGCCCCTTGCCCAGTAACGATTACTTACTAGTCATCATAGATTATTACAGTAGATATAAAGAGATAAAAGTTACAAGGAATATAACGGCAATAGACACGATCAATATCCTGAAAGAAATTTTTTCACGGCTGGGGTTTCCCGCGACTCTAACTTGCGATAATGGAAACCAATTCACAAGCGAAGCATTTAAAAAATACTGCACTGAATGCGGGATTAAGCTATATCACACCATACCATATTGGCCTCAAATGAACGGAGAGGTAGAGAGACAAAATAGAGATATACTAAAAAGACTCAAGATTAGTCAACTAGAGGGAAAAGACTGGAAAGAAGAAATATTTACATACTTAATGATGTACAATAGCACACCTCACCTTACAACAGGGAAATCGCCGTCGGAATTATTTTATCAAAGGCAATTTCGAGACAAAATACCAGCCAGAATGGACATTGAAAATAAAATAACAGACCAAGAAGTAAGAGACAAAGATAGAGAGATGAAGGAAATAGGAAGAGAATACGGAGACCGGAAAAGGAAAGCTGCGGATAACAACTTGGAAGTAGGAGAAAAGGTATATGTAAAAAATATCAGTAAAGAGAATAAATTAACTTCGAACTTTAATCCTACCACCCACACGGTAACAGAGGTAAACGGAGGAGATATCAAAATAAAAAACGACTCTACGGGTAAAGAGTTTAGAAGAAATATTATGCACCTGAAAAAAGTAAATGGAGAATGGGAGATAATAAATGAAATACAGACGTACTAATTATAATGTATGAATCTATCCTATCTTATTACAACTTTATTGCAATGTAATTTTATCTAATTAATCCATTTCAATTCAGTTATTGTATTTGTTACTACTATAAACATGTTTACTATCAAAAATAAAAATAAAGAAGGGATGTAGTGTACGCGCATGCGCGGGACAAGGGAAGGTAAGCAAGTGTGACGCTGGACAGCACGTGTAGCACGGAGGATAATAAATAAGATATAATTGTACCTGGACCCGAGTGATTATTGAGAGTCCCAAGACCCTACA